TCGAGCCATCGCGACGCTGCTGCAGCAGAGCCGTGAGCGTAAATCTTTGCAGTTGACAGCGGTTTCGGCATCGTCAACCTCGTCGCGACGCTGCTGCAGCAGCGCCGCGTGATGTACTTCGCGCCTCTCTTAGTTTCACTCCCACATCGAAATCAGCAGTGTGGACAGTGTTCTGGGACTGCGTGGGTGGGGGTTGGGGTGGGCTGGAGTGCTGGATGTTGGCATCAGGATGGCTGATCTGAGGTCAAACGGGAGCTTCGGGTGAAGCGATCTGAGAGCGTCGGTGCCCCTCTGCAGAGGTGATGATGTCTGACAGCGGCGTGTCTGTTCAATAGCCCCCTCTATTGAACAGCCACGCCCGTGTCTGTTCAATAGCCCCCTCTATTGAACATGCCATGTTCAATAGCCCCCCTCGATTGAACAGCCACGCCCGTGTCTGTTCAATAGCCCCCTCTATTGAACAGACACGCCTCTGTCGATGTCCCAGCTGCCTTCGAGGCTCCCAGATCGCTTCGGTATTTGCTCCTGATCACACTTCGCGCATCTCCTGAATCCGTCCCGCGCCCTCCTCGGACACCTTCCGTGTCCCTCCTGTGTCTGCCCGCCCGCCCGCTCCCGAACTCCCGTGTATGCCTATCCGTCTCCCGTGTCTCTCCCGCGTCTCTCCCGTGCCCCTTCCGTGTCTCCACTGCCTTCCGTGCGCTCCCGCCCGTGTCCCTCCGCACCGCTTCCGCGTCCGTCCGCCCGCTCGCCCCCGAACTCCCGTGTCCCTCCCGTGTCTCTTCCGTGCCCCCCCCCCCCGTGTTTCTCCCATGTCCCTCCCACCCCTCCGTGTCTTTCGCACCGTCCCTTCCGTGTTCCTCAAATGATCATGCATCTCCCCCCGTGTCCTGCCCGCCCGCCCGCCCGCGCTCGTGTCCTTCCCTCCCGTGTCTCCTCGCATCTCCCCCCGCCCCCCCCCCCCCCTCCCCCCGTGTCCCTCATTATCTCCCTCCTCTCCTTTCCATCACTCTATATCTCTCTCCCTATTGCCCACTACCATGCGTTCCATCATGGTGCGCATGCATAGCGCTGCAGCGCTTCATGTTACTTTGTGACGATGATTTCTGCTGAGCGCTGCAGCGCTCACGTGTGTTCCTTAATTGCATGCGATCGTTGCGCTGCAGCGCATCTGTACTGTTGTGGCCTCTCTTCCACCTCAGCAGCCGAGTGCTTCAGCTCTCGCAGTGTGGGAGGCCCTCCCTCGCGCTTCCCCTCGGAGCGTCCGCGCACCCCCTCGCCCTCGCGGAGGGCATCATGTCTGCCGCGGCTGCGGCCACACCCATCAACCACATCCTGGATAACCTGGACAGCTGCGACGCTTTCTTCGCATCGCAGATCGGCGTCATCGCCGCCGACGCGATGGCGCAGAGCCAGTCCGCCTTGTCCATGAGCGTGCAGCTGCAGCTTCACAACTTGGGGACGATCGGGGCTGCCCAAGCAGCTACCCTGCAGAATCGAATCACCGCGTCGGGCTTCGCGGACAGCCACAAGGCGCGCCTCAGCGCCGTGCTGGCCGCGCGCGTGGGCACGGCGACGCCCGCGCTCCAGATGCGCGCGCAGACGCTCGCGTCAGGGCGGTGCTATCCATCGTGCTTTGCACATCGGACCGCCGAAGTGTTATTCACATGTATGGTTTAATTGTTTGTTATGTACTTTATGTATGTTACCATGTTCATGCTTCAAATGTACTTATGTCATCATGCTGCAGCATGCCTGCGTCGATTCGCCGGCCGGTGGACTTTACCATGCAGGACTGGGGTTTATTTCGCGACCCCAACCAGAGCATCGTCGCGAAGGTGCGCGCGTCGATCAAACGTTGCGGTGCCATCGGCTTGACGGTTCCGAGCGAGAACACGCTGAAAGAGTTGGCGGCGTTGATGGCATGCGCCCATCTTCCAGACGCAAACCCTGGGCAGCTCTACGGGATCGTGACGGAGATGAAGGTTTGGGATTCGGCGGGAACACCTAACGCAGACGCATCGCATCGCGCTGACTGCAGCCAATGCGACGCGGCGCGTCAGCGTTAGGGTTTCCCGACGAGTCGCCCTTTACAGGGTCAGTTCTTGGCGAGCCGCAGGGGCGCGACGGGGCAAGCGGCGACAGTGACTTGGAATTTCCCAGCAGATCCTCGGCAGCTCCCTCAGCACATCTTCGACGCGGCGTACGCCGATGCGGACCCGCCGATCGATGTGGCGCGCGACCTCGCCAACGTGGCATCGCATCTACGAGGCTGCTGCCACCCCGTCATGCACTGCAGCGCTGATTGTTCTGGATGTCTTGGGTGCTTCGGTGAGCTCGGTCCTCTAGGCCCACCTCGCATAGTGCATGATAGGTTTCATGCTACGCGTGCGCCGCTGAAGCGGCCTGCGGGTCTCAACGCCATCAAGGCTCGCGTGCCTCTCAGGCTGACCAACAAGGGCTTGCGGGCTGCCGCCCCACCGCATCAGCCGAGCACTGCCATTGTGCCATGGACACCATCGGGGTCACCCTCCGCGCCGCCTGCAGCGCCAATGCAACCCATGGACGCGATGGCCGCGATGCAGCAAATGCTGGCAGCGTTTGCGCCACCGCCATCGCCGCCCAACGAGCTGCAGCTGCAGCTCTTCCCGCGCCGCCCTGCGGCGCCCACGGCGAGCCCCCCCGCGAGTCCCCCCGCGATTGGCGATTCGCCAGCTGGGCCAGCATTGCCAGCGGCGGCGCCAGATGCTGCTGCAGCAGCGCCAACGCCGCCAAACGAAGATGCTGCTGCAGCAGCAGACGGAGACGAGGATGCTGTGCTGCAGGCGATCGAGACCTTGGCTGCGGGCAGCGCGAAAGGCGAGCTGCCTCGCAAGGGCAAGGGCAAGGGCAAGAAGGGCAAGGGCAAGAGCGCGAGCAAGGGCAAGAGCAAGACAGGCGCTGGCAAGGGCAAGACGGCGGCCAAGGGCACGGCCAAACCGAAGGCCAAGGGCAAAGGGAAGGCCAAAGCCAAGGCCAAGGCCAAGCCCAAGGGCAAGGAGGCAGCCAAACGGGGCCAAATGGCACTCGGGTGCAGCAAATGCCGCTACCTGCCGAATGGCTGCGGCACGTGCCGCGACCCGAACTTCACTGGCCGTCGCGGCAAGCCGTGAGCGCGCAACGGGCACTGTCGGCATATGGAGGTGAGGATGAGGATTATGAGGGCGAGGAGGAGGATGGGGAGGATGATGAGGAGGATGAGCATGTGGAGGAGAAGGAATGAGGAGGATGGTGAGGATGGAACGCTGGCCGATGATACGAACGGCAGTGGCGATGGTCTTGCCTGGCGGTCGCGCGGCTCGCACGGACGACGAAGAGGATGAAAGCCAAATATGTTGACGGGTTCTCTTGGATGCGGGCGCTGCAGCGCTGGCGCCTTTGTGTTCAACGTTTGCATCGCCATCATGATCACGATGCAGCGCTGCAGCGCTCGCTTTCCTGGATGGTGGCGTAGATATTGCGTGCTGTTGTGTTCCGATGCAGCGCTGCAGCGCCTGTCAGACTTGTGGTGCAGTTGTAGCGTTGGCGCGTTTGTGAGTGTGCAGTTGCAGCCGCGGTGTCCATGTATTGCGTGACGTGCTCGTCTTGAGTGCCAGTCGTTTCTCGTCGATACGCGCTGCAGCGCCATCATTCGTGATGTCGAGCGTTGTCTCCCGCATGGTTGTTGCCAAGTCACGCGCTGCAGCGCTGTGATTCGCTCATGTTGCGCGTTGCCGATGGCATGCCCTCCTCCCCCTCCTCCTCCCCCTCCTCCTCACTTGGCTCGCGCGTCGCAGCCGCCATCGTTCGCTGCAGCGGGCGCTGGCACGGACCTCCTCCGCCTCCTCACTGGGCTCGCAATGGCGGCGCGCCGCTGCGACAAGCCGTTCGAAGCGCAAGCGCGCGCCGACCGTCGCGACGAGTTGCGCGAGGCCCGCGCGAGAGCGACGGCGACTGCTACAGCAGAGGTGAAGGAGGCGCGGAAGAACGCCAGGAAAGCGGAGAAGCAGGTGCAGATCCGCACCGCGGAGCTGCAGGTGGATGAGGAGGCGGATGAGAAGGAGGACGGTGGGGTTCATGAGTGTGGCAGGCTACTCCCCCGCTGCAGCGGGGAAGAAGGACGACAGGGGGGATGATCAGGAGGAGGTGGAAGGCGATGATGTGGGAGGATGAGGAGTATGAGTAGCAGGGTCGGGGTCAGACGGACATCGCCGCTTCGGACGTGGCCAACCAGAAACTCAACGAGGCGTTGACCTCGCTGCGGGACGCCAAGAAGATGAAGGTGACCTGAGTGAGGTCGGCCTCGGCGACCGCCTGCTGAAGCATGCTGGTTCGATTGATTGGTAAAGGCTGGAGGGAGCGTGGTTGAGCGTGTTGTTTGAGTTGCGCTGCAGCGCTTCTCCGTGGACCACGGTTGAAAGTTTGCGCGCGGATCATGATGTGTTAATGTGTTGCGCTGCAGCGCAGTTTCGCTTGCAGTTTCTCGTTGGATGGTGATGTGGCGGATGATGAGGGCGAGTGATATTGATGCTGTTGACGATGAAGGTGATGGTGACGGGGAGGGTGAAGGGACGGGAGACGGATGATGAGGAGGATGGGTAGGTTGAGGAGGAGGATGGGGAGGATGAGGGGGCGCATGAGGAGGAGGAGGAGGAGGAGGAGGAGGGAGGAGGAGGAGGAGGTATAGGAGGGGGAGGAAGAGGAGGAGGACGAGGGGGATGGCGAGCAGGATGGAGGAGGAGGAGGACGTTCGCGCTGCAGCGCGTCAGATTGCCATCATTGAACGTTAGCGGCGCTGTAGCGCCATGTGCTCCCAGACTGTTGCTTGGCAGTTAGCGCTGCAGCGCGCATTTGGTTGCTCTCCACGCGGTGCAGCCTCATTTCCATCCGTAGTCGCCGTGGCCCCTAGCGGAGGGGGCCCTCCGCGCGCGCGCAGCGACGGAGGCAAGCTTGCCTCGGGAACGCGCGCGATGGCGGCAGAGGACGACCGCCCAGCGAAGCTGCGGCGGCTGTCCCGCCTTCGCGCGGAACTGCCATTCATGCATTGTAATGCGATGGCGCAATTCCTGGCGTCCGTTAAGCGAGACGGAATCCCCGAATTGGGATCCCGACGCCAGGATATCAGAGACGCTCGGGAGCTCATGGTCGGTGAGAACACGCCGTGCGGCAAGCTCCACCAGAACATGATAGTCGGGCAGCACACGGTGGAGATCTGCAGTCCAGCAGCAATGCTGTGGTATTGCAGCGCCCTCCCCGCGATGCAGCCTCTGTGGCAGCGGGCGCTGGAGCTGCCACGCCCGTGGCACATCATCATTTACGGCGATGAAATAGGCGCTGGCAACGCGCTGGCGCACGCGCAGAACCGCAAGTCCTGGGGCATCTACTGGGCGATCGCGGAATTCGGCCCGCGGGCGCTTTCGTCGGAGGACTTTCGCGATAGCGCTGCTGCAGCAACGATTTATGCGGGGGAGAGAGAGGGAGAGAGAGAGAGAGAGAGAGAGAGAGAGAGAGAGAGAAGAGAGAGAGAGAGAGAGAGAGAGAGGAGAAGAGGAGAGAGAGAGAGAGAGGAAGGTAGGAGAGAGAGAGAGAGAGAGAGAGAGAGAAGAGAGAGAGAGAGAGAGGAGAAAAAAAGAGAGAGAGAGAGAGAGAGAGAGAGAGAGAGAGAGAGAGAGAGAGAGAGAGAGAGAGGCGCTGCAGCGCCAGTTGTGCTGCGATTTGTAAGCAGGATGCGCGGTTCCAGCTCGCGACGATGCGGGCCAAGACCGCGAGCGACATCCAGCCGCGCGGACTGGCGATGCTACTGGACGCAATCCTCGCGCAGTTCTGGCCTGATCAGGGGCGCAACTTCAGCGCAGGCATCAGCTTGCGGCTGCGCCCCGACGGCGCGACGGAGCTCATCCAGATGGACCTCGGAATTTACATGCAGCCGCTGCAGCGGTCGCCGCATAGCACCCAATATTAGTTAGCATACATGTGCACATGCATATATCCATTACGCCTTCTTGCGTCGCTGCAGCGGCTCTGTCGGATCGCGGGCGGGGATGCAATACACCGCTTGATCGGAGTGAAAGGTTCGTCAGGAATCAAACCATGTTTTATGTGCCGCAACGTGTTCTTGAAGGGCGAAGTTCGGGATATAGTTGCTTCTGATACGACGGGTGTCGCTGTTCACCACTCGGAACCAGATGCGTCGCGGCTGCAGCCGATGACGGCGCCGTTGCTCGATGCCATCTGCAACATATTGATCGAAGGGGTCGACGTCATGAACAAGGGCGAGTTCCAGGAGTTGGAGCGCCGACTTGGCTGGAACTGGGACCCCCATTTGCCTGAGCGGGTTCGGGAACTCAAGCCGCTCGAGACAGTCATGTTTGATTGGATGCATTGTATTTTCGTCAACGGTACATATCACATTCCGGTGTTCCAAATGTTTCGAAGGTTGAAGGGTTACTGGGCGCGCGCAGACGCATATTTCCAGGACTGGTCGTTTCCAGGGCGCCACTCCATCTCCCCCGACACGTGCGCGATCTTCGGCGAGAAGCGCGTGAGGTCCCACGTTGGCAGCAAGCATTTCAAGTGTACCGCCAGCGAGGGGCTCACAACCATGCAAGTATCATTGCATGCTTCGCGCCCCCGCCATACCAATAATACATGCGCTGCAGCGCACGTGAATTTCTGTAGGATATGTACTGCACCCCTCTTGTTCGGACATGCGTTCGCGCGGGCGGATTGACGCGTTTCTTCAGGGGGGTGGCTAGCGACGCTGCGGCGCCTGCAGTCCGATCGGCTTGCGCAGTGTTCGAGGCGCACGCGATCGTCGTGGAAGAAATCCTACGAGTATCCAGGCGTCAGGCAGACGCGGATAAGCTGCAGGCTGCGGTTAACAGGTTTTTGCTGTCATACAGCAGCGTCTTTGGCAAGGAAACGATGGCGCAGAAGTTCCATTACCTGCGCCACTTCGCCAACTACGTGAGGCGTTGGGGCCATGTGGCGCTGCCGTCGTGCTGGGTTTTGGAGCGCAAGCACAAGACCAGCAAGCGCTTTGCGAACGCTCTTCAGGCGGGGGCTGCAGCCTCCAGCGGCTGGGACGCCAATGTCCTGAAGAGCGTCACCGAGCGGCACCTGTGGCAGCTCATGGATGGCGACACCTTTAAGGTTAACTGCCTGGTTAACGCCACCAGGCCGTCCAAGGCCATCTCGCGCGAACTGCTGCAGCAGTTCGGGCCTGCGGACTTTGTTACGTCCGCTGCAGCGCGGCGCCGCTACCACGACGTCAAATACGGCGACGTCGTGCTGTTGGAGGACGGAGGAGGGGAACACATTGCGGCCGAGGTGTTGAAACACCTCTCCTTCACCAAGAACGGCCACTACTATGGCTTGAGCTTGGTCCTGCCCTACTTCTTCAAGGAGAAGCTGCACCCGCGCGCCTCCGCGCACGTGCTTGGCGGCGATGCCGACGCCTTTTGGGCGCACGCGGCGAGCATCGTGTGCTCGCTCGCGTGGGCGCCGCGCGAGGGCGGCGGCATCCGAGCGGCGCGCCCGATATGGTCGCAGCCGCGGTGGTGCGCTTGAGCTTAAAACGTGGATTCCTTACTGGCGCTGCAGCGCACTTTTTTACATTGCTAAATGCTTCGGTGCTGCAGCACCTGAACGTTGCATGGTCGACGACTCCTCTTCTCCGCCTTGAAAACGTGGATTCCTTATGCATGGCGCTGTAGCGCACCTTTTTCATTGACACTTCGGTGCTGCAGTACCTGAACAGTGCATGGTCGCCGATTCCTCTTCTCCGCCTCGTTCCTCCGCCTCCTCTTGCGCTGCAGCGCTAATGTCGTTGATCAGTGGTGCGGTCGTTCAAACTCCTCCTTCCCCTCATCCTCCCCCTTCTCCCCCTCCTCCTCCTGCTCCTACTGCTGCCCCTCCTCCTCTCTTGATCCCCCTCCTCCTTCTCCTCTCCCCCTCCTCCTCTGGCGAGGGGGGGGGGGGGGGGGGGGGGGGGGGGGCGGGGGGGGGGGGGGGGGGGAGGAGGAGGAGAGGAGGAGGAGGAGGAGGAGGAGGAGGAGGAGCACGAGGAGGAGGAAAACGACGAGACAGCTCAGAGCGAGAGGAGGATGGGGAGGAGGAGGGGGGGGGGGGGGGATGGGGGGGGGGTGAGGAGGAGAGGAGGAGGAGGAGGAGAGGAGGAGGAGGAGGATGGAGGATGAGTATGAGGATGAGGAGGAGGAGGAGGAGGAGGAGGAGGAGGAGGAGGGGAGGAGGAGGAGGAGGAGGAGGAGAGAGGAGCGAGGAGGAGGAGGAGGAGGAGGAGGAGAGGAGGAGACGATGGAGGAGGAGGAGAGAGAACGAGGAAGCGGAGGGTTAGGAGGACGAGGAGGAGGATGAGGAGGAGGAGGACGAGGGAGGAGTATATGATGATGACGAGAGGAGGAGGCGAGAGGAGGAGGAGGAGGAGGAGGAGGATAGAAGGAGGGAGGAGGAGGAGACGCCGCCCGCGCGCGTGCGGCTTACAGGCCGCGCGGGGGCGCGCCCTCCCTTTTCCCTTTGCTTCGCGGCTCGGGATCGCCATCGAAAAACATATCAAGACATGTTTTTCGATGGCGACCCCGAGCCATGGGGCAGTCTCCTCTCGGAGGACCCCTCGGGGATGTCGGGGATCCTCCTCGACATCCCCGAGGGGTGGGACGGGCTCGGCAGCCATCGGCCCGTCGCACGTCGTCGTCCCCCAACCCTCTGGGTTGTGGACGACGGCTACGTGCGGTGGGCCGCTCTGGCTGCCGAGCGGCGCGCGGGGCCCCCCCCCGCCGCCCGCGCCAGCGGCAATGCCGCTGGAGATGGCGGCGCAGAGCGCGGCGCAGGCGAACTTCGCCTGCGCCGCGCTCAGCCGCGCCAGGCTGCCGCTCGACGCGGCGGCCCTGCAGGGCCGCCGCGTCGAGCGGCCGTCTTGGGCTGAGGCGCGCCCGTCGCCGCCTCCGCCGCCGCCTCCCCCTTTCCTCCTCCTCCTCATCCTCCTCCCCGTCCTCCTCCTACTCCTCCTCCTCCTCGACATCTCCTCCTCCTTCTCCTCCTCCTCCTCCTCCTCCTTCTCCTCCTCCTCCTCTCTCCCCCTCCTCCTCCTCCTCCTCCTCCTCTTCCTCCTCCTCCTTCTCCTTCTCAGAGTCCGCTAACCACTTAGTAAGTCCGCTAACCACTTAGTAAGTAAGCTAGCTAGCGGACTTACTATGTGGTTACTAAGTGGTTAGTAAGTGGTTACTGGGTGGTTACTAAGTGGCAGCTAAGTGGTTACTAAGTGGTTAGTAAGTGGTAGCTAGAGTGGGGACTTAGCGAGCTAACCTCTACTAGAGACTTAGCAAGGTTAGCCTGCAGCTATAAGTGGTTAGTATCTCCTACGAACCAGTTGTAGCTGGTTGTACAACTTACATCCTACTTGCATCACTTATAACCTACTTACAACTCACTTGTACGTACATACTAAATCCTCTAACCCCTTAGTATCCGCGCTAACCACCTAGCAGCCGCCGCGGCCATCCAAGTGGGCGCCTGGCCGGCAGGCCCTTCGGCGCCATCGTCTGGCTCCGACGCGTCGTGCGGGGCCACGCCGGTGTGCTCCTCTGTTGGCCCAGACGCATCGCCCGATGCCTCGACGTTGGAGCCAAAACAGCGACCCACAGGGCGAGGAGGTAGGTGAGGGCCCACAAACCAGCCCAGCTTGCCTCTGGAGGGTATATCAGCGGGGTTGACCTCGGACGGGATCCAACGCATGTGAAAGCGCGCCCCAGAGACAAGCGATAAGCATGCCAGCTTACGTAGGGGATGAAGCAGATGACGCGACGCCCCTCGGCCCTTGCAGGCCGCCAGAGCTAAGGGCAGGTTGTCCACCAGCAGGACCGCGCGACGATTGAAAGCCTCCGATGACCTCAAGATGTGCTTGGCGGCCACCATGAGGGCCTCCCCCTCGAGCTCCAGGATATTGGCGTCCACAAGGACCCTCGACGCGAGCACAGTAACCCAGGGGCCCTTCAGCACGTCCTCGGGCACCTCCTCGAACAAAGCCCCCGAGACCTCAAGGAACTGCTGGAGGTCCTCGAAGCCCTCGACCGGCGTGGAGTCCCGCAAAGCGTCTTGAGCGCCACTGAGGGGTCCCACAGGAGGCTGAGGCCCAGGTACAGGTGGCCCAGGACAGTGACCCCCGGGCTCAGCGACAGGATGACGATCTCTCTCCAGACGTTCCAATGTATGTTTTCTGGCACGCTCCGCACCGGCGACCTGGTACCTCCATCGCTCAGCATATCTGCCTATCTCGCCAGACTGGTCCGGCGACACAAAACGCGTGCACACTCCGATGCCGAAGAGGGATGCGTCTGATGCTGCGATGACGTTGTGCCATGGGATGTTGATCTGTGTGAAGAGGAGAGGCAGGATTGAGCGGAAGGTCCACAGCTCCTGCCGCACCCGCGGCCAGAGCTTCTGCGGTCGCTCGCCGACTGCGTGCATGAACTGATAAGATGCACTGAAAAGCGACAGCGCCTCACGACGTAGAAGGGCTGCCCAGGTCACATGACCCATCACGATCTGGAGCGCCGAGCCGCTGCATACACCACGTCAAAGCAAAGCCTCGATACCGTACCTGAGACGCCACACGTTAGAAGGCTTGATGGACACCCTGGACCCCTCACTGAAGCTCAACCCCACGAACGAGATATCCTGGCTCGCGGCACTCAGCTCGTGAACAGAAAGGCCCAGTGACTCCAAACGTCTGCGCACACTATCCAGCCCGGACTGCACTGCATTGCGATCCGAACCCAGAACCATGAAGTTATCCACGTATCCTGCACTGGCCGTGTCCGAGCGCTGGACGAGGGATACTGCAGGCAAGCCATCCTCTATGATGCGCGACGATTCGAAACCTTCGAGCTTGAGCGCGTGTTGTAGAACACCCTGACAGATATGTAGTGCCCAAGACCAGCCCATGGGAAGTACACAGACACACGGAGCGATCATGTCACCCGGAGAGACTGGCACCCCATCGACCTCGACGACACCTAAATGCCTAGCTGCTATAGCTGGAAGCCTAAACATCTCGTCAAGTCCCACTGGAATGGCAAGTCTGTAAAACGCACACTCTATGTCCCCTGCCGCGAAGAAAGTGTCGCGCCCCACATTCTCGAACCCGGCAAAAGCCCCGGGAGTGGGGAGGCGAGTCCGAGGGGGGTCAATAAAACTAGTATTCGCGGCACGGGTATCAAAAATCAGTCTGATGTCGCCCGACTTCTTGGCGACAAAAAATATTCCGACAGTGGCGCCGCGACCGGCAGCCTTCCGATACCGCACCATCCCTCGCTGCCTAAGCTCAGAGACAAAGTCGCCATAGGCGAGAGGGTTGTTTTTCAACATCGGATCGGTGTAGGGGCCATTCGGGCAAAGTTCCGCACGCAAAGAATCAGCGGCAGCAGGCGATCTTAGCATATGATCGCGCCAGAGACCGAGCCACTTCGAGTCGGCCTGCGCCAGGCAATCGGACAAACAAGTCGGCGCGTTGCCACGCGCAGGCCAAGAGACCTTGCTCTTGACGCACGGCCGTTGGGTGGAGGATTCATCAGAGTAGAGACCTGACCCGGCAAAGAGCGCGTCGAGGGCTCCCTTGCGAAAAGTCGAATAGTGGGATCGCCTGGCGGCGGCGGAACCCTGAGATAAGCCGTCTCAATGTTGCGAAGTGCCGCGGCCTGGCCGGCGTTCCGCACGTCCGACGACGGTGTGCTGAAGCCAAAAAGATGGTTGAGGCACGACGTCCCATCTGAGGCCCAATCTATCGCATGCCGGCAAGAGGCCAGCCTGCGGGTCGTGCCCCGAGACAGCGAAGCGCCACCAGACCGAGGAAGACTGTGACAGCTGGGCAGCGGCAAAGGAAAAATGTCTCTGTGCCTTCCCGGGCACTGCAAGCCTGCCTCCGTGCAGCTAATTTCGGCTCGTGCAGGGCCAGCCGGGGGCGCGGCTGGCGGGGGTGACATCACCCCTGCCCCGTCTGCTCTCCCTTGGCCCCCTTCTTCGGGCGCGCGAGAGTGCGTTCCTCGCGCGCCTTGCGGCGCTCCTTCATGACGGCGTACTCCTTGGGCAGCTCTGACGCGATCCACTGAGTAAGTTCGGGCATGACACAAAGATTGCCTCGCGCCAGGTCCGTGCCCCGGGCAAGGTTAGAATCGAGACGATCATCGCTGCTGCCGGCCACCTTATCGCGATAGCGCTCCTCGGCGACCTGTATCTCGCGGGCGGCGATCTCGGCAGCAGCAATATTTGGAGCATTCACCTGATCATAGCACGCTAAAGTCTCGAGAAGCCTGCAGCCGCCTTCGTGCGAATCAACGCCCGGATCGCCGGGCTGCAGCTTACAATCAGCACGCCGCCGATTATGCCTTCCTAGCGGGGTTCCCCCGTTGGATAAGATGAATCTACAAACCCACAACGTCGCCCTCGGACCCCTGATGGGCCAATCTGGCCACGGATCCTCCGTGAAGAGAGAGACCGCATCCCTGAACTCCCGGAAGCGGGAGCCCGTGGCGTCATACATGACAGGGTTGGTGCGAGCATCCGTTCCCCCTCCAGGCGGCGGCGGTGCGCCGGCTGCGGCGACCGCGGGAGGAGGAGCCGCGCCTGCCGGTGCTCCGCCCCCACCCCCAAGGCCTCCCGCCTCGGCGGCAGGAGCGGCTCCTCCAGGAGCACCTCCCCCAGCTGCCGCGGCTGGAGGCGGGCCCAGTGCAGCAGCGAGACGCGCCAGGCCCCCTCCAGGAGCCGGCGCTGGCCCGGCCGCGGCGGCTCCACCCGCCGCGGCGGGCACTAACGCGGCGGGAAGCGCTGCTGCCGGCGCAGCTCCAGCGACGAGGGCCCCGGGACCCGGACCAGGGACCCCACCAACCCCACCAGGGGCCGCCCCCGGAGCAGCTCCAGCAGGAGCAGCGGCTGGAGGTCCGGCAGCACCGCCCCCCCCCGCGGCCGGCGGGCCTCCCGCGGCGGCAGGAGGCCCCCCCAGCAGAGGATGCACGTTGCCGGCGGGCGGGGCCAAGCCCATGCGACGATAGCCAGCAGCACGGGCCGCGGTCAGCTGAGCGACCGTGGGGATCGCCCTGAACCGGTAGTACGCCGCGTTCGGGCCGGCCTGAGGCACCGCGCCGTTCGGACCAGCAATCGCACACCAATCGCGAACGTCAGCACCTATGATGAGGTCCTCCTCGTACTCGTCCAGATCGGGCGTCATGCCCGTCACGCCAACGAGATAGTTAGGGGGCGTGCCACAGCAGATGCGGGTGTGCCACAACTCACGACCACCAACGTTGTACCTCATGGCGAAGAACTCCCCCTCACGAAGCCCCAGGGGGTGGGCGACTGCGGCTGGCGCCGCCATCGCTGATGAAGGGCGGGCAGCACCCGCTTGCGGATCAACGCCTGCTGACGGCGGGCAAGCTCGGCGATGTCCTCCTCCTCGGCCTGCGCAGCGGCCTCAGGTGCTGGAGCAGGTGCGGCAGCCACTGGCGCCGGCGGCGCCCGACGCGGGCAACCGAAGAGCCCGCCTCTCGCGAGCTGGTGTCCGGCGACCAAGCCGGTGAGGAAGGTGGCCAGTACCAAGCCCGTCTGCTCCACGGGGTTCGCCCGCTCGTGGAAGACCTCCTTGAGCTGCGTCGGCTCCACGGCCGGGCAGTCACAGTGCACCGCAGGCTGGCGCACAGGGCAGGGCGGCGGAGTCTGTGCCCAGAGGAGGAGGCTATTCGATATCCCCCGAGCAAGCTCTGGGATCGCACCCCTAACAAACTGCATAGGCTGGGCCTGCTTGAGCCTTGAGGATTACGGAACGATGTTCCTGCGGCCAGTTGCGACACCACTTGGCTTAAAGTGGTGAACGCATCCATATATATATATATATATATATGTACACACACATACATACATACATACATGCATGCATGCATGCATACATACATACGTACGTACGTACGTACGTCGTACGTACATCCATCCATCTATCCATCCATACATACATACATACGAGAGAGCGTGATCCACCGCCGCTTTACTGTGGAAAATTGCCAACCTTTTCCTCCGGAACCCGGGGGTCGCCCCCCCCCCCCCCCTCCGAAAAATCCCCCACCCCCCCCCCTGCTGGCCCCCCCCTCCCCCGGCAAAACCCCCCCCTCCCCTAACCCTTCGTGCGTGGGGGGTGTCTGCGAACCTGTTCCGACCGAACCGGAGATAGAGATTCCCACAACTTGCGTCGATCTCCGCTGTGTTGCGCGGTGCGTGATGCATGGCACGGTATAGTTTCAGACGCGCGGGGAGCGTGGCAACACCTCCCCGCGCCAGATTTGCGTCTGCACTGTTCGGCTCAAGGCTCGACGTCTAAGCGAGGAACATGACCGAACGACGGAGCAGCGAAGCGCGGCAACGCCGTCTGCTCTGCCGTCTCTCTATCCCTCTTAACACCCTCCTCAGGCTTAGGCTACATCTCCCTATTGACAACTCTCTTCTCCATACTCTTCCCATTGCTCCGTCCAATCCTTCGTCAGATTGTGCTGGGCGTGAGCATCGAAGAACTGGCAGAAGAGGAAGAATGAACAACGAGAGGATGTATTCTGCGCACCCGTTCGTGGACCAGCACCCGCTGATGTCCACAAGGGTTATGAGCCCAAACGCACCTTCAGCATCCTTCCCCGCATCCTCTTCGACTACCACCTGGACGCCTCCATCGGCATGTGCTGCAGGATCGGGCACGTGGATCATCCGAACGTGCCATGCGTGCGCCGACGTGATGACAGGGCCCTCTGTCACGTGCTCGGCGTGCCACGCGCCCGTGCACAGCCACTGCGTGGTGAGGCGAATGAGCTGCATGGTGTGCACGAGCTGCGCCAGCGAGATGGACTTCGCCTTCGCGAACCACCAGGCGCAGCGGAGGATGGCGGTGAGTTCCGCGGGCTTCGGGCGTTTCATGAGCGCCAGCGGCCAGTACGCGGGGCAGGCCATTGGCGCGGTGGCCACCGGGGCCGTGGGAGGAGCGGCCAGGCTGATGACAGGCTGCGCCTCGGGGGCCGTGTCAGCGATCCGGGGCATGCGCGCGGTGGAGCTGCCGAGCGCACCTGCGCCGCAGCGCCCGCGCGTCCTCGAGCAGTTCGACATCTCGGACGAGGGCTCGGGCAGCGGCGTGCCGACCGAGATGGCAGACGTGATGGCCGAGTTTAGCCGGATGCGCGCGGAGATGGAGGCTCCGAGGGAGGAGAACGCCAGGCTCCGAGGACGGAGCGCAGCGTCAGCCCGAGGCGGGTACGCGACGCCCTCGTCGCCTGAGCGGCTGGAGGAGGAGATCGCCGAGGCCCAGGACGAGGGTATCGACACCGTCTACGGCGTGGATTGGTCTCAGGCGGGGGGCTTGCCGTGAGCGGTGCTGGGGGCAGTGCCGCCGAGACTCACGAGGTGAAGGCCGCGTGCGAGGCGGCTGATACGATTGGCAAGCACGTCGAGGAGTTTCCCGTGCGAACCGCGGCGCCGGCGAGCGCCACGCAGCAGGAGCAGCCGCCAGGACTCGGCGCCGCTGCTCATGCTGGGTTCGCGCCTGCAGGACATCCAGAAGGTGGTCATCCTCAGGGCGGCGGTGTTCCTGGAGGCGCTGGGCTACCTGGAAGAGGCTTCGGGGGTCTTGCAGGAGGTGTCCCACATGGTGGTGGCGGAGTTGGAGTTCATGGAGTTGGTGGAGGCTTTCAGGGAGGATTCCCAGGATCTCAGGGCTTCGGAGGTGTTCCGGGAGGCCCTGGAAGTGGACAGTTCGGCGGAGGAGGCGGGCCGAGCGGACCAGGTGGACCTGGTGGCGGTGGATTCGGCCCTCCGCCCGGGCAGCCAGGAGATGGTTTCGGTGGCGGGCCAGGCGGCCCTGGCAGATTCGGGCCTCAGGGCCCTGGAGGTGGCGGCTTCGGGCCTGGTGGACCAGGCGGCGGAGGCGGCGGACCACCTCCTCCGCCGCCGTTTTTGGGCGGTGGCTGAGCGACTGCGGCGACTTCGATGCCCGCAGGCCGCGACAGCACCTGGGAGACGGTGCTGAGCAAATTGAAGTCGAACGAGCTGCCCTCCCTGTCCTGGCCGAAGGGGGGTTCGACGGGGCAGAAGGCAGCTGCCTTTGAGGGGTGGCTGCAGAGGATCAGCCTCGAGCTCGGCGGCCTGCACCACCTCATCCAGGAGTACTGGCAGCGCGTGGTCGCCGTCGTCTCCGAGGCGCACCGCTCGTACCTCGCGCACGGGACGTTGGACAGGCCTGGGATCAGGCCGTCGCAGCCCGAGGACTGGGTTGCCTCGGAGGCCGAGGCAATCAACTACCGCAGCTGCGAGCTTCGGTTGCGGAGCATCTTGCTGAATCTGATGCCAGATGGCGTCAGGTCGCAGTGCCTCTCCACAAAGATGACGTCGACCTGCGACATCTTGTTTGGGGCCTTTGTCGAGGCAGGGCCCGGCACGGCCGCTGACAAGGACTACGTGTTGAACGCGGTTTCGAAGGGCAAGGCCGTCGACCAGGCCCACACCTACGAGGAGCTACAGAGGTGGAAGCTGAATGCGACGCGCCTCTCAACGCTTGGCGTTGCTGCGCCAGACCCGTCGGTCCAGCTGACGACTCTCAAGACGATCAAGGGCCGCATGATCGAGAGCGACCAGGTCAAGCACCGCTACTACGGGTTCCTCGTGGTGCGGGGCTTGAGTGGCGGCGTCTGCACGCAGGCGCAGGTCGACGAGTTGTGGAGGTAGTTACTTGTCAGCAGAGGCCCGGGAGTTCGCGGGCTCGTCCGGCGGCGGCGGCAGGAGCGAGCAGCAGGAGGCAGCTCGCGTGGCAGCTCTGGCCCCCCAGGGTGGTAAGGACCCGAAGGGGAAGGGCAACGACAAGGGCAAGGACAAGGACAAGAGTGGCAAACCGAAGGGCGCCGGCAGGGAGGGCCCGAAAGGCGGCCATCCACCTCTTGGAGGCGGCGCTGGAGCTGGCCCTGGCTGGGGCTCCGGAGTGAATGGCGAGCTCAAGTTGAGCCCGCATTTCGAGGGCGACCGCGGCTGCCGGCACGGCAGCGGAGGAGCTTGCCAAGATCGGCATCGAGAGCTCCAACCGCAGGAGGGCAAGTGCTTCAACTGCGGGTCCCCCCAGCACCGCTCGGACGCGTGCGAGCGCCCGAGGCCTCCGGCGAAGACAGTGGCTGCTCCAGAGGCTGCTGCAACTTTGGCTTCCACGGTGTCGCCGGCCGCTCCAGGGACAGCTTCTTCGAAATCGGATGCGGCATCGATGGGGCAGGTGGCTGCTCAGGCCGCGCGCGCTGAGGTCAGCGCGCAGCTCCTGACGCTCATGGGCATGGGCGCTGGAGTGCCGCAGGCCCCTTCGGGGCAGGCGGCGCCGGTCGACTTCTGGGCCAGCGTCGAGCCGAGCGCGAAAACGATCCGGGTCTCGGCGAAAATCGCCGGGGTCAACCGCGAGCGCATGCTTCTCGCAGACACGGGGGCCACCCTCGGAGATGTACAGCGTGCTGTTCACGCGGTCGAGGTGCACCTCGCGGCCGTCCGCGAGCATCACAACGCACTGCTCCGCATCCCAGCTGAGGCCAAGCTGCTCCATGTAAGTGGCGAGAGGGAACAGGCCCTGCAGGGACTCCCCCTCGACGTAGACCACGTCCGCCACCATCTTCGCGTCGACCTCGCCGCTGGCGGTCTGGAGCCTCACGTTGCTGCCGCGGATTGCTGAGAGGTCGCGCACCCCGCGCAACTCATGGGTGACGCGGAGGTGCTGCGGCAGGAGCGGCGGAGGCAACTTCGCGAGCGGTTTCGTGCGGCGATGGGCGTGCTTGCGCGCGCCCTCCGCGGCATGGCCCATGCTGCGCCCGCGCGGCCAAGCTTGCAGGAGCACGAGGAGGCGGGGCACGTTGTCGTCGACCCTGCCTGCAGCAAGTGCAGGGGCGCCTCCAGGCGCATGAGACAGCACTTCAGACACGACGCCTCGACGAGGCCAGGCGGCCAATTGTCGGTGGACCTGTCAGGGCCACATCTGCCTGGCCGCTGGCCCTCAGGGCGGCCAGAGGACCAGGGCAAAAAGGCAATACACTTCCTCCTCGCCGCCTTCAGCGTCACCACCGACGACGAGCTGGCGCTTAAGAGGAGGCGCGAGGAGGGCGCGCGTGCCAGCTCGGAGGCGGCGCCAGGAGCGCAGGGGGCAAGCGTTGGCGAGGAGGCAGATGCAGCTGCTGCCGTAACGCAGGTTCCCCCCCTCCTCATGGAGACTGCGCCGACGGCGCATCCGGCACTCAGGAGGCTGATGGCGCGCGCCGCCGAGGCGTTCGGCGTCAGCGCGCGGCCGGCAGCTGTAGAGGCGCAGGGAGCGCCCGGCGAGGGCAAGACCGTGGGCCCAGATGCTCCTGGAGAGTCCTCCGGGGACATTCCGGCTCCCCCGATCCTGGTTGAGGGCTCCGGCCAGGAGGCCGAAGCTGATGATGGACATGCGGCGGCGCCCAAGAGTCGCACATGGTACTACGTCGTGCCGCTCGAGAGCCGCAGGCCCGACGTGTGCATCGCCGCGTTGAACGCCGTCATCGCGTCCATCCGCAGAGAGTTTGAGGGGACCGACGTGGTTTACATGATCCATGGAGACAGGGCCAGTGAGGTGACTGGTGAGAAGGTCCGGCACTATTTCGCCGAGCGCCGCATCGCTGTGACTTCGACTCCTGGCTATGAGCCGAATGCGAACCCACGGGCTGAGAAAGGCGTGGGACTCATAAAGCAGCGTGCTCGCGCCATGCTACTCGCCTTCCCTTCCATGGCCGATCGGCAGGCGCTGTGGCCGATGGCGGTCACCCATGCGGCGTGGTGCAGCCGAATGGCCGCCGAGGGGCGCAGGACAGGCTGTCCTGCTTTCGGCGCCCGCGTCACCTCCAGGTTAAAGGAGTCCCCCGCAGCATGTTCCAGGCGCGGGCGGTGGAGAGCATCTTCCTGGGCATCGACGAGGGCGGCGGCGGTTGGCTCGTGGGCCGGGTGGATCCCGAAGCCACGATGCTGGAGCGGAGGTGGGTTATCGAGGCTTCCAGCTCCTTCGTGCCTGTTCCCCAGCCGATCCGCCAGGCGCCGGCAACCTGGCGAGAGGAGGAGGAGGAGGAGAAGGCAGGAGAAGCAGCGAGGCAGCAGGAGGAGGAGGCAGAGGAGACATCACCACCAGGAGGAGGCCAGCAGGAGGAGGAGGAACAAGAGGACGCAGCACCACCAGGAGGAGGATCAGGAGCACCAGGAGTAGCAGAGGAGAAGGGTGACGACATCTTCGAAGCCGACTTGAAGGATATCACGTGCCCAGCGTGCACCACTAGAGCCCATAGGCCACACACTCGTGACGCCCAGTGTCTTCTTGGACCTCTTCTTCGTGGACCTGCTGGTGGGCCTCCTTTCGACGCTGGCGCGGATGCGGGGCCGAAATGGTCGTGCCCGGCGTGCCGTGGACGGCACGTCGCCCACACCAGGGACCATCGTTGTCGACGTGGGCCAGGTGCGGCGGCTTCCCCGGCAGCAGCGAGGACTTCGAGGACGAGAGGAGAAGCATCTGCGACTCGAAGTGCGGGCTTGCACGTGCAGATGTTGCAGTGCCACGACGACGTGAACGCCCAGGTCGCTCCCATGGGCTCCAGGGGCGGCGACTACGACGACAGCGACGACGAGGATAGCGTGCCGCCCGAGTTCCGCGACATCATCCGCGACTCAGGCACGTCGCCGGTCTCGATCAGGGTGCTCAACGAGGCCTTCGGCTCGGAGAAGGAGGAGTGGAGGCAAGCCCTCGAGAACGAGCTGAACTCGATGACGGAGAACGAAGTTTTCTCCCGGCTGACGCCGGCGGAGGTCCGCCAGGCGAGGCCCAAGGACATCTTGCCCATGCAGGTGGTGGCAGGTGTCAAGGCTGCCGAGCCCTCCGATCCGACGGGATACCGGAGGAAGAAATGCCGAGGCGTGGTCTGCGGCAACTTCGAGCAGCACGGGGAGGGAGAGCAGGTGTACACCTCGAACCTCGAGGTTTGCAGCCTCCGCAGCGCCTTGGCGGTAGCATCCGCTAGGCGCTGGGACATCGGCGCCATGGATGTTTCGACTGCCTTCCTCAACGCCCACCTCCCCATCGAGCACAAGGAGGTGCTGGTGCGCCCTCCCGCCGTGATGGTGCGATATGGCCTCGTCCGTCCCGGGGAGGTCTGGAGGGCGACGAAGGCCATCTACGGCCTGCGCGTCTCGCCCAGGGTGTGGGCTACGAAGCGGGATTCGGATATGAAGGACGTGATCGTCGAGGACGCGCAGGGCCGTCAGCTCCGGCTCCGGCAGAGCACCGCGGACGGGGCAGTGTGGAGTATCGTGGACTCCGCGGGCAGCGTCTGCGGGTACGACGTACGTGGACGACTTCCTCATCTTGGGACCTTCGTCGGTCGTTTCGGCGACGAGGTCGGCTTTGGGAGGGCTCTGGAGGACATCATCCCAACCCCAAGTTGGACCTGGGTCGCCAGGAGTTGTGCGCTACCTCTCCATTGACATCGAGGTCAAGATCGACTCCACCATCACGCTCTCGCAGCATTCCTACACGGAGGAGCTGCTGGAGAAGTGGGGGATGGAGAAGGCGAACGGCGCCGGCTCCATCAACTTGGATAAGGAGAGCTTCGACGACTTCGCCGGGGCGGCCAACGGGGACGAGGAGGAGCCAGCGCTGAGCGATGTCAGGCTCGCGCAACGCATGGCCGGAGGGCTCCTCTGGCTGGCCTCGCGGACGCACCCGGACATCGCCTATGCGGTGTCGCGCGTCGCGGCTCTCGCCACGAGCCATCCTGTCCAGAGCTTGTTGTTCGGCAAGAAAGTCTTGCGCTACCTCGCTGGCACGAGGCGCGTGGGTCTGGAGTACCACGTCCCGGAGGAGTTCGGCATGGACGAGCCACTCCAGCTGGAGACGTACGCCGACGCGAGCTTCGAGGACATTGGCGCACAGACGGGCGTCTCGGTGCACCTCTTCGGCTGCCTGGTCGATTGGCGCAGCGTGCGCCAGCAGGTCGTCCCGTTCAGCACCGCGGAGGCGGAGGTGAATGCACTTGCCGTTGGCGAGAACATGAGCGCTGCGGCTGCGACCACGCTCGAAAGCATGGGACTCCGAGTGAGGCCGACACTGTACGGAGACAATGCCGCGGCGAACCACGTGGCAGAGGGACGAGGCTCACGGCGGACACGTGCATTGTCCACGAAGGTGAACGCAATCCGCTCCAGGATGGCACGCGGGCTGCTCGAGTTGCACTTCGTCGGCACCGCCGATCAGCGTGCGGACGGGCTCACAAAGTGCGGCGGTGTCCAGCATGCCGCGAGGATTCGCCAGCACTTCGGCCTGCGAGCTCTGGCGTAGGAGCGCAGTTTTGTATATGAGTTCTGTCTTGGATTTTTTGTAGGCGTGTACGGGGGCTTGGAGGTGCAAGGGCACCCCCCACACCACCGCGCTAGACAGAGCACGGTGTTTGCTGCAGCCGCGGCCCCACCACGGCTTCAGAGGAGGAGCGTGCGTGGGGGGTGTCTGCGAACCTGTTCCGAACGAAACGGAGATAGAGGTTCCCACAGCTTGCGTCGATCTCTGCTGTGTTGCGCGGTGCGTGATGCATGGCACGGTATAGTTTCAGACGCGCGGGGAGCGTGGCAACACCTCCCCGCGCCAGATTTGTGTCTGCACTGTTCGGCTCAAGGCTCGACGTCTGAGCGAGGAACATGACCGAACGACGGAGCAGCGAAGCGCGGCAACGCCGTCTGCTCTGCCGTCTCTCTATCTCGCTTAACACCCTCCTCAGGCTTAGGCTACATCTCCCTATTGACAACTCTCTTCTCCATACTCTTCCCATTGCTCCGTCCAGAGCCCTGGAAATCCTTCGTCAGATCGTGCTGGGCGTGAGCATCGAAGAACTGGCAGAAGAGGAAGAATGAACAACGAGAGGATGTATTCTGCGCACCCGTTCGTGGACCAGCACCCGCTGATGTCCACAAGCCCTTCCCCCCCCCCTCCCCCTCGAAAACCGGGGGGGAGTCTATACTGGTTCGAACCCCCCCCCTCCGGATCCGGAAAACCGGGGGGGGTCACTACAATGTTCTCTCTCTTTGTTTATGTCCCTCGAAATATAGTTATGGTTTGCCCTCTTCTTATTGGTAGGTGCACCTATCCCCGGCATCTCCGACCCCCCCCACGCATCGCCAGCAAACGACTCCCGGTCCCTACCACCGTCCGCATCACACTCCACCACGCGGTGTCCATGCACCCTGTAGATATATATACTGTAACCCACCCTCCATCCACTACACCTCGGTCCCCCACCACATTGGTTCCCTAACACACATAGTCCCCTTTACATTGCTCCCTACCACACCATGTGTACCCGCTCTTATACCCATCTGTGTAGCCACTCGTTCTCCGCACCCCTCCCTCTCTCTCCCCAGCGTGCCACACACACACTGTGTAGTTCACGCCCCGCCAACCCGCTGGTTTTCACCCCTGGCAAAACATCCCTATAACTGGTCATTACACAAACAGGCACACAACCAAATGCCCAGCAATCCCCACTGTCCCCACTGTCCCACTGACTCCTCCGCTGTCCCACTGAGCTGTCCCACTGTTCCCACCACTGTCCCCAGTGTCCCCACCACTGTCCCCACTGTACCTCTGTCCCATTGTCCCACCGCCGTCCTCGCCACCGCCTTCACCACTGTCCCCACCACCATTGTACCCTCCACTGTCCCACTGATTCCACCTCATTCCCACTGTGCCCACACCACTGTCCCCACCACCACCGTCCCCACCACTGTCCACTGTCCCCCCTGTTCCCACCATTGTCCCCACCACTGTCCCTACCACTACCGTCCCCACCACTGTCCCACTGTCCCACTGTCCCCACCACTGTCCCGCTGTCCCCTCACCTCTGTCCCCACCAACACCGTCCCCACCACTGTCCGCACCCCCACCCGGTTTTCGAGAGGGGGGGGGGGTTCGAACCGGTAGTGACCCCCCCCCGGTTTTCGAGGGGGGGGGGTTCGAACCGGTAGTGACTTCCCCTGGTTTTCCGCTAGCAGCGGTAGAACACGCTCTTCATACATACATACATGCAGAACCATCGCGCGCGCTTCGCGCGCGCTCAGGTTCTAGTTGAGGTCACCGCTCAGATTCTACTTGAGGTCGCCGCTCAGGTGCGATGTCTTCCTGCTGCCCCAGGATTTTGGAGTCAGGCGGCGTCCCAGGAAGCCTCCCAGAAGCCCGTTGGGGCCCTCTTGGGGGTCTCCTATGGGGGCTTCCTGGGAACCTCGGGGGGCCTCTTGGAAGCCTCTTGGGGGGGCCTCTGGAGGCCCTTGGAGGCCTGCCGCGGGCGTCTTGAAGTCTCTTTGGGCCTCTTGGGGGTCTCGTAGGAACCTCTTGGGGGTCTCCTGGGGCGGGGGGGCTGGAAGGTTCAGTTGGGTGTCCCGTCTTGGGCCCCTCTTGGGGCCCTTCGGGGACGCGTTTGGGCCGTCCTGGGCGCCTCTTGGACTGTCCAGGGCCCCTCTGGGGCCGTCTTGGGGCTCTCTTGTGGGCTTCGTGGGCCGTCTTGGGGCGGTCTAGGGAGAGCCGGAGGTCGTAGAGGTCGCTACGAAGGCCACAAAAATCGAATCTGGTTAAAATGTACGTTTTACGAAGGGAGCGGGGCTATTTTTGCTTCCCGGGGCCGTCTGGAGGGATCTCTTCGAGGGGTCTTCGAGCGTGTTGGAGGCGTCTGGGGCGGTTCGAGACGCCTCTTGAGCCGCCGGAGACCGCTGGAGGTTGTCTTCAGGGTGGCGCTGGGCGGCCTGGGGCCGCCTGGACGGCCGGCCGTCCAGGGGCCGACCTGGGGCCCGGCGGGGAGCGGGCGCCGGGCCCGACGTCCCCCCATTTGCGGTCGAGGCTGCGGCCCCGGGGCCCCCCGGGCCCGGTGCGGCGTTATCTGTATACATACACAAATATGTATGTACAGTCGGCCCGTATCATAAGGATGCACGATAAGGATGCAAGGCATGTGTATCGAAGATCGTTCTGGGGACCTTCCTGGAGCCACTCGCTCCACTCATGCGTCGATGCTGCGTCAAACGTCCGTCGGCGTCAATCCAACGTGAGTCGAACTTGAGTCGAGCCAGAGCCGAACAGATCCCTCGGGTGGGCCCCAGCAGGGTTCCCAAAACGAACATCTGACGAGACGCCGGGGCTGCGGGCGCGGAGAGGGGCTGAGGGGCAATGATAGGGGGGAACTGGCACAGGGGGAGATGCATCGACCCGGAATCGGCGATACGCGAGCGTTTTCTTATTCGGCGTTTCGACATTGTGCGGAAAGGGGGGGGGGCTGGCTCTGGACCTCTGCTTAATGCGACTGTCTGCAGCAGTGCGTCCTGTGGGGGAGGCTCCACCTGCGTGAAACAGGCGCCAAGAACAGCCAAGATCTACTCCCGGAGGGGGGGAGGGGGGGTGCGAGGGCCAGCGCAGATCGGCAAAACAGTGAAGACAAAACGATCACTGCATCGCCGATAGCTGGGCGCTAGGCCCCCGATCGTGAATCCTCGCACTCCTGGGCGGGTTGGGGCCATCAGACCCCCTCTCGGCGATCCATGACCGATTGGGTGGTCGCTACATCCCCCCCTGTGCCTGTTCCCCCCTGCAGGTCTGCGCTGGATCGGATCGCGAAATCGGATCGTATCGAGAGCGGATCGGATCGCCAGCGAATCGTCCCGAATCGGATCGGTATCGAATCGCCGCGCCCCGCGTCCGGCTGGCCCTGACCGCTGCCGGCGAATGGAGCCGGATCGCACCGCACTGGAATCGCGGCCCGGGGCCAGCGAATCGCATCGCACCGAGTCGGATCGTGGGCGTCCCTGCCCTGCACCTGCCCCCGGGGAAGCGGGGCGAGGCCCATCGGGGGCCGCCCTGCTCACGAGGCCGTCGACCACCTGAGGGCG